TCTAATATCATTAAGAAATAATATTAGAAAGCTAGAAAGGGCAAGTAAAATTAGTAGGGGAAAGGAATAGTTCCCTTATGAAGAAATATTTTAGAATTTCTTAGGAAAAAATTGGCCAATGTGAACGTTGTAAAGATATTTAAAATTATGCATGCCATGAAAAATCCCCTCCCTCTGTCAGAATTAGAATTTGAGATCATCCCTTGAAGCTAAATGCATAGAGATTCAGGACAGACAAGAAATAGTATTCTTTTTATTCAACACATGGTAAAACTAAAATTCACTGCATCAGATATTGTGTTAATTTACCTGTTTTCAGCCAATTAGATGAATTAATAGTTTCTAGTTTCTAGTTTCTAGTTTCTAGTTAGTGACAGTGCCCACCTCTTAAATCTAAGGAAGCATTTCTAATACTCCTGCTGCTGCTATCGTTAACACTCCAAGAAAGCATAATAATAATAATAATAATAATAATAATAATAATAATAATAATAATAATAATAATAATAATAATAATAATAATAATAATAATAATAATAATAAAGTTGGAAGGGAACTTGGAGGTCATCGAGTCCAACCCCCTGCTCAAGCAGGAAACCCCACACCATTTCAGACAAATGGCTGTCCAGTCTCTTCTTAAAAACTTCACCGCTTCTGGAGGCAGGTTATTCCATTGGTTAATTGTTCTAACTGTCAGGAAATTTCTCCTTAGTTCTAGGTTGCTTCTCTCCTTGATTAGTTTCCATCCGTTGCTTCTTGTCCTGCCTTCAGGTGCTTTGGAGAATAGCTTGACTCCCTCTTCTTTGTGGCAGCCCCTGAGATATTGGAACACTGCTATCATGTCCTTCTCTTCGTTAAACTAGACATACCCAATTCCAGCAACTGTTCCTTGTATGTTTTAGCCTCCAGTCCCCTAATCATCTTTGTTGCTCTTCTCTGTACTCTTTCTAGAGTCTCAGCATCTTTTTTACATCGTGGTGACCAAAACTGGATGCAGTATTCCAAGTGTGGCCTTACCAAGGCATTGTAAAGTGGTATTAATACTTCACGTGATCTTGATTCTATCCCTCTGTTAATGCAGCCCAGCACCTTCTTATCTTGTTTATAATGTAGACACCTGGTTGTTGATTGTGAACTGGCTCACAAAGGCCTTTGACCTGATCAAATAGGTCTTCCAATATATTTCTATTCAAAGATGTAAATTAGACTGGAAAATATTCCCATACAGGTGAGAGATACAAATTTGTGTATTCATTTCAATATCTACAGTATAATTTGTAATTTGTTATAATATTTAAGAGGTTTGAACAGTACATTTTTTAAAAAGCTTTGATGCAATAAAAAAAGATTTTGTCAGAAAGTTGGAAAGAATACTGAGCAACAGTAAAAAAAAAAAGAGTAATACCACATAAAGCTTTGAAAGTGCCAACTTAATCTGAAGGGGGAAATATTCCAAGGAAATTTTTGATACTAATAAATTTTCTGTAGAAAATTTTCCAGCCCATTTTTCTGTTTCTAACAATAAATGTGTGAAATAATTATATTTTAGACCAAAAGTAGTTAAAATGGCGCCAATAGTCACCAGTGCATACCCAGGCACTAGTAGAACTAGTAGAACGTAGTGTCTACTAAGTTCCCTATCCTATCTGTTTTTTTTTCAAGGGCAATTCATTTGGTTATCAGTGACAGACACTCGCAGATATAGAACTTTTATTATACACATTAGAAAACTACATTACATTACTTTTTGACATAATCACCACTCAAATTGAGGCACTTGTCATAACGTCTTACAAGGTTTGAAATTCCCTAGTAGTAGTCGCTTGGCGCCAAATCTGGGCTATGGGGGGGTGATCAAAAACATCCCAACAGAACTGCTTCAAAAGTTCTTGGGTGCATCTAGCAGTGTTCGGGTGAGCATTATCATGATCCAACATCACACCGGAAGTGGTGCCATAGAAAATCCCGCCAAATGTGAAGATGCCAAAGGAGAACTGCTAGTGAAGTTCATGGAACGTGGTTCGACCATCAATTCAGAAGTTATGAAAACTGAGATGAGCCATCCATAACAAGCATCAGGGCATGCTGACTTCCGGCGTGCTGTTGGTTCATGATAATGCTCACCCGCACACTCATATAAAAGTTCTGCTCTATTTCTAAAAGGTGACAAACCATTTTAAAGAATCATTGTTTCCTTCCTTCCTTCCTTCCTTCCTTCCTTCCTTCCTTCCTTCCTTCCTTCCTTCCTTCCTTCCTTCCTTCCTTCCTTCCTTCCTTCCTTCTTCATTCACTCAATTTCTACAGCCATCCATACTTGCTTTTTATTTGCAAGTAAATTGTATTCTGTTATCTAATTACTTCTATATATCTCATCAAAAAGCAAAAGCAATCAAATTAATCAGGCTGTTACCAAACTATAAAATCTTCAAATTATACTCAAACTGGGTGGTTGCAGCTTATTCATCTAACAGCCTAGAGTTTGAAGCCAATACTTAAAGATAAGTTTTGGATCCATATTAATAAGCTAGCACCTGCTTTTGGACAGGTACAAACAATCAGATCCATTTCTGAAGAGTTCAGTTAACTATTTTATAACACACAAAGGGGGTGGGGACACAATGGCTCAGCAGTTAACAATGCTGAGCTTGTCAGTTGGAAAGCTGACAGTCCAGGTTCGAGACCAAGCGCTGCACAATGAGTTGAGCTCCTGTTACTTGACCCAGCTGCTACCTACCTAGCAATTGGAAAGCATGCAAATGTGACTAGATAGATACCACTTTTGTGGGAAGATAACAGTGTTCTGGGTGCCTCAGCGTATAGTCATCCAGAAATGTCTTCCGACAACGTTGGCTCCCTCGGCTAAAAAATGGAGATGTACACTGACCCCTAGAATCAGAAATGAATGGACAGGGAAACCTTTACTTTTACCTTTATAATACAGGAACTTTCTCAGATTGGTGGTTTGTACCTGGACCAGACTAGATAAGATTCAATAGTATTCAAGGGGGTGAGGTAAAATTTTGCTTTCTTGTGCCTACAAAGACATTCCAAACTAAGTCTCCACTTGCCCCCCCCCTCCGGCTTGGCCAGTCTCTCTCCAAAATAATAATTATCAATTTCTGTTAAGTTACCTTCTTTATTTTTCATGACTAGCCAAGAAAATGGGGTTAATTTGATAGCAAATGCTAACATGCTTGTACATAATAGCTTAAGTTAGAACAATGGTGTTTTGGTTTGGACACAGGATCTTTGTAATGAAAAGATGTAGGTCTCAAATAAATGAATAAGTAATTGTTCCATTTTGGTAATTCATTCACAGTTACATCTGAAATATTACAAGTGAATGTATTGTCAAGATCTAAATTATATGAAAAAAATAAATAGATTTAGTAGATTGACCTCATTTTGAAAGAAGGAAGAGTCTGGAATAGCATTTGATAGACTTTAGCAATGTTATGTTGTACATATACAAACTTTTAGTTGTCTAAGACAAGGGTCCCCAACCCCCAGTCCATGGACCAGTACCTGGCCGCAGCATGCCAGCAACTGGTCTGCACAAACAAGCAAAGCCCCATCCGTGAGATGCAGACAGCACACAAAACCACACATCCTCCAGTCTACGGAAAAACCTCTCTCCATGGAACCGGTCCCTGGTGCCCAAAAGGTTGAGGACCTCTGGTCTCAGACAGCTTATTTTGTTCATCAAAAAGAACCATTACAAGGAATGGATGACTAATTATAATATTGATTTGGTCTCTTATTAATATCAAAGCTTGATAGGTGCTTCTAATTTACCAGGCTCTTCTCTCCTAGTAAGCCACTTTGACTTCCTTACAGAGGACAAAAATCTATTATACTAAAAATTTGTGCTTTACAAAAAAATATTATGTAAACAATATTCATATTTCATAAAATATAAACCAAAATCTGTGTAATTGGCAGGATATATTAATATATTACTACAGTTCTTATAGTGGGCAATTTTAATGTTGTTTACATTTAATTGTGAAAATGTATTATTACAATTAAATCATCTATCCTGATATGATAGAGTTATGATAGAATGTACACATATGCATACACCTGCACCTATATCTATACTTACACATACACATACAAATTGTCATGCCTCTGTCTGAGCCTGAATCTGTGGAGGAAAATGAACTGGAATGGGACCCTATGGAGGCCGAGGGAGAGGTGTCTGTAGCTTCAGAGGAATGTGGGGAAGAACAGGCCATGGCAGGCCAGGGCCCTTCAGGATTGGAACAGGAGGAACAGGAGAGGCAGAGTTCAGGCAATGAGCAAGGGCCACCCCCACCTGATCCTAGAGCACGGAGAGTGGAGAGAAGGAGGGAACAATGCAGGCAGGCTCAATTACTCAGGAGGAGAGTGTCCTGCCCTTCTCCACAAGGAACACCTGGAGATTGAGATTTAAGGAGACGCTGTGGGGAGGGGCATTTGTCGGGAACAAACACTCATTCTTGGAGTGTTGTGTTTTGTTGCTGATCTATTGTTTTGTGACTTCTGTTTGGAAACCTGGAAACTCAAACTATTGGATTGACTGACCACGTTACTTGAATGTTTAAAGACCTTGGACTGTATTTCGGATTCTCTCTTTTGAAAATTGCTCAGGCAAGCTAGGATTCAAACAGACTTGTTAAGTTTATGTTTTCTTCCTTTTTATCTCTATGGCCTTGAGTACTTTCTTATGCTAATCAGACTGTATTTGAACCTACTTTCAGCCAGAGTCAGCTGAGGGATGTGTGTGTTTTTTTGTTGGAGGCTTGCCAGCAAACGTGGGAGCATTTGGGGAAAATTTGGAGCAATAAAATAATTGTTTGAATTGCCAGCTGACTGCATTGCCTCTGTGCTGTGCCCTGGGTCATCACACACATACACATACACATATACATATACATACAACCAATGCTTTGATTACTTCAGCAATCCTGAAAATATAATGACCGAGCTTTTATTTTGTTTTCTTTTGTTTCCAACAGGTACGATTGTATGCAAGACCTGATGCCATTAGAAGAGGATCCGGGGACTATGCTTTAAACATTACACGGAGATTAATTGAGTTCTATGAAGATTACTTCAAAGTACCCTATTCCTTGCCAAAATTAGGTAGGTTTTTCAGTTAAAACTGAGCTTTTCAAGAGGAATAAAATCGATTACTGTTGTTCTAGGTTGAAGGAAGCCAAAGTATAATGTTTGGATCTTCACTTGTTTTGGAATCTATGAGGCCAAGATCTAGGAAATGTATTATTTAGCAGACTTACAATAGTATTTTTAATGCTCAACCCTAGGGATTTTAACTTCTGGAATTCAGACCTTCCTTTTTTAAAGCACATATCAGCAAGGTACCACCATTCTTAACTTATGAGTAATGTTGTGGCAGGCATTACCCTGAATGGTAATGTTTAATGGACAGTTTAATCATTTTATAAGATGTGGTTTATTGCTTTGTCATTTGTATTGTGCTTAAGTTTTCATAAACTTTTGTCATAACATTAGGCAGAAAAATCTACTAGTAATATCAGAAAGCTAAAAGGAAAACATATTATCTTTGTAATTTGCAGAAAAAAACTTATATTTAGAACTTTAGATAACTGAAAATATTGGAAGACTAGTAGAATAAATGCAACTGTTTCATTTTTTATGATTCAATTAAATATAATCTTTCAGTGTATTCTCTAGACAATCTTTCCCCAGGGTCTTCCATCTGTTTTGGAACTGTGATTCCTAGGCATACTACCTAGAAATTATAACTACTGCAATTGCATTACTTTAGCATCAAGTTATATTATTTATTTATTTAATGTGTTTTTCAAGGCACTTTGTATTGTAGATTTTCTGCATAACAAATACATATACATAACAAATACAAATACATTTTTATTTAGGACATGATTCGAAATTGTCTGTCAGGATTTCTGATTCTTGCTTTTAATACCACACTATGGCAGAAATTCTTTTTGTTATACAGTATATATATTTGGTGCAAAGATCCTGCACTTAAATTATTGTCTAGCACAGTCAAAAGATATTTTACTAATGTTAAGTTGACTTCTTAAGTTTCATTAAAATTGTAATGAAGTTCAAGAAGTCATCTTAAAACTAGTTCAAAATGCTTGTCTTGTAATAAATGTTCAAGTATGAATTCAAAGTATCATTTCAAAGTTTTAAAGAATAAGCTTGGGAAATGGGAATTTGAACAACTTTTTAAAGCAAGCTCCTCCAACCTGGAGTAGTCTAGATATTTGACATAGAATTGTCATCTTAAACAAATCAAGGACACCGATTTGGGAAAAAAATAAACTTTCTCCATGAGTACATATGGCAAAGAAGATTTAATAAATTATTTCTGGTCTGGAGATTGCAGTAATGATCCTTTTTGGATGTTGATTTTTTTTCAGTCATTTATATTTCATCAGTATTTCTTCTTGTATCCTTCTATTTTCTTAAATAAGTATGTAGGAAGCAGTGGTGTGGTTTACAGTTCCAGAGTAATTTCTCTGCTTGTGTGGCATAGTAATTTCAATGTGGTTAAAATAAAAACAATTTATCTGAGAAGAATAAAATATTCATTTTTTTTCCAAATTGAATAACATCATATGAAAGTAATGTGATTTGAAAATAAGAATTTTAATTATTGAAGTTTCCAAACCATTCACAACATTTTTCTATAAGCCAAAATGAAATGATATAATTCACTTCTGAATTTTGTATCAAAAAGATGTTTAGGTAGTGTTAAAAGGAAAGGCTAGAAACAATAGCAGTCTCAATAAATTAACGATAAATGATTACTTAATGTAAATGTTCTATATTTATATGTAGAAAATCTATTATCATGAATTTTCATTATTTGCAGTATGCATGTGGAACTTTTCAAAAATTTGCATGTGGAGTAGTGAAAGCTGGCAGGGTGGAATTTATTTATTCTAAATAAATAAATGTGAAGTTGTGTAACAATATACTAACTAGCATGTTTTATATCAGTATTTGTTATAATACTTGTCATAAAGTGTTTATTTAAAATTTGACTAGTGCAAATACTGTACTTATCAAATCATCTTTTATGGCTTCTTGCTCTTTAGTAGTCCTATGTATGACTGTCTGCACATACAATTATTTTGTATGTATAAAACACTGCTACTCAGGTTTTTTTCAATTTAACAAAGCATGTGTGTGATTCCTTCACTACCCCATCATGAATAGAATACTCCCAACATATGAAAGAATAAAAGTGCACTTATATTTTATTTAAGTATTTAAGTATAATTAGATAAAACAGTATCTGTTCTGAAAATTCAGACATGTGAACAAAGTGATGGGTTGAAAGCTTAATCTGAAATCTGTGTAGCTTTGATGAATGACTAAAACCATATATTGCTAGAGTGTCTGTGGTCTCTTGAGAGTATTCTGGAAATGCTTTAGCTACTTCCAGTGGGTTAAGTGCTTAAAGTAACAACTGACCAAATCTTTGGAAGTATTTGAACCTAAAATAGTCTTCATTAGAGTTCTTTTATTCTTCAGTATTCGAGTGCTCACCCTTGATTTAGGAGAGTAACACTTTCATGTAAGGCTGCTAGTGATTGCCTTTTTGTTAACTTAATAACTTCTCTTCTTGAGCAGAAATTATTATGACTTCTGGATGTCAGATTCTGATGGGAAATAATGACTACAGCTCTAAAACCTGATATCTAAGGACTATTACCTTAAGTCAGGTAGAACTTTAAGAATTTCTAAGATAATTTTCTCTAAACTATGGTTTGGATGTAGTGATGGGAGATTTTATGTGAGAGTTTTTAGGAAAAGGTGAAATATATAGGTTGAGAAGAGCACATCCTTTCTATATTCACAGTTCAGTTGTGGACTCCATGCTTGTGGGTGCAGTATCAAATATCAAAAGAGTCTCCAGGCTAATATCTCACTCGATGTTTTGTTTTGTTTTAAGAGGAAATATCACTGTAGTCCCTTATACAAAGCCATACCTGTGCATTGTTAACCAGGCTGATAAACCCTCCTGTTTTTGCAAAGAATATTTTCATGCTGTCCTGTAAGATGGGGAAAGATTGAGTTCTCCCTTCCACATCTGCAATGATTTCAAATAGTAAGAATGGCGGCTATTGCTGCTTTATTTCATGCTAGACAAAGAGATTGGCAGTAGGCCAATATACCACCAGTGATATCATTATACTGCACTGAAGGGGATGTATTTTTCTAAGTTATTCTTGGCATGGTGAGGCTATTCTTCAACAAGTACCATGGATCAAGGATGAAAATGAAATTTTATTTCATATATGTTCAGTGTTAACTGAAATGTCTACATTCTCTCTTCAGTTTCTATAACAACTTATGGTATTAGTTTTTAGTATTTTTGGGTACTTCCAAAGAGCAACAAAGGAGCATCTGGCTGAGGGATTCCATATAGCCATCTCCACAGGAGCATACATGCTGTTGAAGAAGGTTTTATATTGTGCCCACTGGACTGGGGAGGGTGATGCATTCAATCTGGCCAAGATGAAGATCCAGTGAAATTTCAGAATTAGAATTATGGAGAGATAAGTTGATGACAGATGGCCATTTGAAAAAAGTCCATGAATTTACACTGTTTTAAAAATTAATATCCCAGATATTAAGGTCACTTCTGGTACTTTCAAACCTAATGGAAATTAGCACTTGTTAGTCAGATTAATTTAAAATGGTTTCTGCCACTAATATTTTCTATATGCATGTAAATTTAAAGTTTCATTCAGGATATGTAATCTAGTGGGTTTTTATTTTTAGTAGAAGTACCATAACTCATAAGTGTTAATGTTACTTCTTATAGATATATAATTTCACAGAAAATTACCAAACAAATTACCAAACATCTACTGTTTTTCAGTAGATGAATTTACATATATTATCCAATTTTCCATCAGTAGAAATTGTTTTTTGAGGTTATAAGTTGGTACAAAAAAGGGATATGAGTGGGACATTTGTAGAGTTGTTAGAGAAGAATTTAAATTATCCAATAAATGCAAATGACATAAGGAATAAATTATTACTCTTCTGCTTCTAGTCACTCAAGTTAGCAGTTTAAGTTAGTATATTTGTATTTTTAAATAATGTATGTATTTGACATATTATCTCTTATTTTTCCTTTCTTGGAGAAAATGCTTTATTACAATCTTGTTATTTAGAGACCATAAGTTATGAGCCTGCACAAAGCTCCATTAACCTTGACTTCTGGTTTGACGTCACGATGTGATGGGCGCAGGAAAATGGGGCTCTGTCTTCCACATTTGATTTTGCTCCACTGGGGACCCTAAAAAGAGTCGAAAGTCATCCCAAAGAGGCAACGGAGAAGGAGGAGGACCCTTGTTGATTGCGGGAGGGTGGTGGCCTTCCGTTTGATCCTCCAAACCAGCGGGGGAAAGACTGGCTACATTTGTGTGTGGTCAGTCAGAAGCTGCTGACAACCAAAGAAAATAAGCATTAACCAGGAACTTTTGAGCAATGTGGGTAAGACCCTATCCTCTCTTTATGACTTTAAGACTTTTTCCTGGGAAAAAACCACCCAAAGCAAAGAATCCTCCTCAATGAGAGAGGGAAGGGGAATTTCCATTCCATTCCCTAAGGAAAAGAAAAGCGGCAAATTAATTGCTTGGGAGAAAACAGAGAAAATTACAAGATTAATTTGGAATCAATACACATATATAACTTTGAAATTTGAGGACTAAAAGTGCTTTTGAGATATATATTTTTAAAAAAGAGACTTAAAAAGCTTGTAATATAAGTTTGAATGTAAAAAGCTGGAAGACGGCATCAACAAAATCTAGTGACGAGCTATAGCATTACAATTTATTATGCCTAAAGGAAACTTGGCTGGAAGCCCAGACTCAGATAAGACTCTTATTATTTCTAAAACTTTCACTTTTGAAGACTGCAGCTGGGAAAATGGGGGTGGGAACACCTCTTAGCTGTTTATTTGTGTGGCAGAGAAAAGAAACTATTTTGAAACTGGCCTGCCTGGACTATGAATATAAATACTAACTGACTTTTAGAGCTGTGTAACAGAGCTATTTCCCTATAGAAGAAACATGCATTATTGATTGAGATGATGGAATATTTTGGAC